AATGAAGTAATGTCTTATTTTTTTTACTATAATAAACTTATTCTGTGCCCCCAAGTCAATGGATTTCTTTTCTTCTTCTTTTTTTTTTTATCCTCACCAGAGGACATTTTTCCATTTTTTGTTCAGGTAGAGTGGGAGGGAGAGAGAGGAACAGAGAGAGAGAGAGAAACATCGATGTGAAAGGGACACATCGAGTGGCTGCCACCCGCACAACCGACCAGGGCCGGGGACAAACTGCAACCAAGGTACGCGCCCTTAGTGGGAACCGAACCCGGGTCTCTCCGGACCGCAGGCCGACGCTCTAACCGCTGAGCCAAACCGGCCAGGGCAATGGATTTCTTTTTCTTGTTTAGGTATCTTTATGGTTGAAAGTATTACAGCTGTCCCTCCCTTTTTCCCCCCTTGACCCCCTTGACCCTGCTCCCGTCCTCCTCAAGCCTTCACTGCACTGTTGTCTGTGTCCATGGGTTATGCATATATGTATAGAAGTTCTCTGGTGAATCTCTTCCCACCCCCTTTCTGAATGACCTTATTCTTGGTGAATTTCGGTCTCCAGTGGAGGTGGGTGGCATAGTGAATATAGGGAAGTTCTTTGGGGATTCTAGGCCAAGTGGTGGTAAGATCTCAGAAATTGTTTAAAACAAGCTCTTCCAATTACCAGGTTCCCAGATGGCAGCTTTATTGCAGTAACATCGTAGGGAGAAAGCAGAGAGAGAAAGAAAGCGAGTGATTAATCCTATCCATGAGGGCTCCACTCTCGTGACCTCTGAAAGGCCCTGCCTCCAAATACATTGAGGATTTAGGCTTGAATACTGGAGAACTTCAGATATGCAGTCCATAGGCGTGTCCTGAAGCATTCAAGGGTGACAATCTGTTTATGTTCTCACTCACGGAGAAAAAAGAAAACACTGATCATCCACTCTTAGCTCTTTGGCTTATGTAAACAGTTTGGCACAGTGATGATAGTTCCTAGATAGGAATTAGGAAACCTAGGTTCTTGACCTGCTCCTATTAGCTGGCTGCCTAGTCTAAACCAAGAGCAAGTCACTTAACCTCTCTGAATCTTAGTTCATACACCCATAAAGTGGAGATGTGAAAATCAATCACAAGACCCATGTGGAATGACATGTGAAAGTGTCGAATAAATACAGTGCTATACAAATGCACAGAATTATACCTGTGTATAAACTGCATCACCTAGGGAGCCTGCCTGGGTAAATTTCCTTGGAAGGCACAGATGGGTTGGGAGGGAATAGAGAACCTATGTAAGTGTTTCAGTTCTTCAAGAAGAATGTCACCTTTAAGACGCCATCTGTTCTTAGCCAGAGGAGAAGGAATTCTGAGCTAGGTAGTGAGATGCCCAGAAAATAGAACGCCAGAAGAAAGAATAGGAAAGAAGAAGGCTAATGGGAAGTTAAAACAACTGAGGCATATAAAGAGGAAAATATATGCTTAGTTAGCACCAGTTAAGTTTACTACACCATGCCCTTGGATCCAACATCAATAAAGGAGAAATAAAACCGAATATGAAGCACCTCATATGCCATTTCTTTAGCTATGACTATTGCTGCCAGCAGATTTCTATTTTGGTCTCTTGTGTTACTGAGAACTCTTTGATTGAGACATAAGGTTATTCAGACATAAGTCTTTTCCTACCTGTTATTATAATCACCTTAGTTTGTTTTTTTTTTAAACCAACTTTTGTCTATTTCCAAAAAAAAGGCCTTAGCATTGTTTCTTCCACTGAGCATGGTTGTAAGTTGCTCCCCTCAAAAGATTAGCTAGAGTTTGTAAAATATTTTTATAACTTAATTTAATTCAATTGCACTTATAATGTGTAATGCTCTGTGCTGGTCAATAATAATAAATAATAATAAACCCTCTTTAAAAGTGTTGATGATTTGTAAAATGAGATTTCACTTTATTCTTATTCCAGTAGTCTATTGTGCACAGACTTTTAATATTTTCATCAGCACATATGTATCCTTAATAGAATTTATGAAATCCATTGGATTTGAGGAATAGATATGTTAATTTTTCAGGGATGATAAATCCATTTCACCATTTAAAATATTCTTTCTGATTATAAAAGTAACATATTTATTGCCAAAAATTTTTAGTAGAAAAGATAGAAAAACACTCAGTTTCTTTACTTAAAAGTTCTATTGTTGATTATTCCCACCATGTATCTTATTTTATGTATTTGAGCTCATACTCTATATAAACTGTTTTTATCCATCTTTTTCCTGTTGGCATTGTTCTAACCACTTTCTCTCATCATTAAAAATCCTAAATTCCTGTTTAATGGTTATTTATGGAGGGGGGTAAAAGTAGGTTTACAGTTGTTTGTGTAGAAAATAATATAATAATTAAATAATGATACAAGAATAAAGTCTGTGTTTCACATACAACTGTAAACCTATTTTTGCCCCACCTCGTATAAATCCATCATATGGATAATGTACCATTTTCATAGTATTATCCTACAGTTGGATGCTTTAGAAATGTTTGCAAAATTGATAGGTCAATAATATATTGCTTAAATTAATAATAGTAGTATGTTTGAATATCTTCAGATATTAGCCATTTTTCCTTTTTAATGACCTGTGTTTCAGTTTTATCTAAATGTTCTTAATAATTCTTACTAATTAGTTCAAAAACTCTTTTATATTAAGGATATTAACTATTGGGTAGTACTTGTATATACTTACAGTTTGGCTTGACATTTTTTTCTGATTATAAAAGTAACAATTATTCTTTAAATTTGGAAAATACAAATAAGTACATAGAAGAAAATCCAACTCATTTTATCAGCATTTCATATTAACATCTATAATTTTAATTGAATTAATAGTAGACATTTTCATTGGTACGCTGCTTAATTCAGGTAACAATATAGACCATCAGAAAAAGTTTATTAAATATTTACATTTAGAATTGCTACATAGTATTTTATTATGTTAGATGCACCATAATTAATGTCTTGAAGATGGATATTTGATGTTCAAATTTTTTAATTACTCTAAACACTGTGATATTCTTAAGAAAAATCATAAGTGGAATTGCTGAACCCAAGTATATTCACACCTTTAACCTCATACAAATTATCTCTCCAAATGTTGTTGTACTCAGTTCCACTGACAGTATTTAGAATGCCTATTTCCTTATAGCCCACTAATAAGCAATATTTCTATTTTTAATCAACTTTGAGGTATAGTTTACATACAATAAATAAAGTGATTTTAAGCACACTGATTAATGAGTTTGACAAACAAATACATATACTCCTATAACCACCATCCCAAACATTTTCATTACCCCAAAAAGTTCCCTCTTGCACATTTTCATCAATCATCATTTCTTCCTCCCACCCCAGGCCCTAGGTAACTACAGATGTTCCCTGTCAACATAGATTATATTCTGTCACTACATATTATATACATACATATATTATATATATATATATATATATATATATATATATATATATATATATGTGAGTTTTATATAAATAGACTCATACGGTAGGTATTCTTTGGAGTCTGGATTATTTTGCTTGGCATGTCTTTGAGATCCAGATCCAGCCTCGTTGCTGCCTGAATCAGTATGCCCTATTTTATTGTTGAGTAAAATGCTATTTTATAGATATGCCAAATCTTGTCTATCATCAGGTGAATGATGAGACGTTTGGGCTGATTCCAGTCTGGGGCTTTTATGGATAAAACCACTGTAAACTTGTATGCAGTGTTAAGCCTTGACTCTCTAAACAGAGATACTTCATTTTCTTATCCGGAGTAGATTTGTGGGCTCTGGATACATCATCCACCCTTTCAAGTCAAGCAAATTGCCCAAAGGAAAGCCAAATCCATCTTGTTTTGGGAATCGAGTTAGCAGGATGAGGCAATGGAGCAGGATATAATTTTGAGAGCATCTTGGAAAGCTATCTGGGAAGCACCTGATCACCCTCCTCCTGTAGCAGCCACAAGCATAAGGCTCCTACTTCTCACTGCCCTCCCCCTTTATGTCTTCTGGCTCCTGACAAGTCTAAGAATCCTGCCAAGTCAGTCCCTGTCTCCTCCCATGACAAGGGAGGGTCAGGGGAGAAAATAACAACAGTCATCATGCTGTGTAATGCCAGATCCCCTAAATAGCTCCAGGAGGTGGTAGCAGGGTCAGGCTACCCCACAGGCCACCTGCCCAGTGGCCTCTAGGGTATTCTGTGCCCTCTTCTCAGCTACATGAGACTTGTGTGCTTAAGGTTCAGGAGAATTCTGTGCAGGGATTTGCAGGGCCTACCTTCTAAAAGTAGAATGCCAACTTCCTGAGAGTGAGAATCATGCTTTATATAAATTTGTATATGTTTAAGGCACCTAGTAGGCACTCAAATGTGGTTTTGGATAAGGTGTAATCAAAGCCTGAGGTATGGGCATGGATCCTGACTTACAAACACTTACAGATAATATCTGAAAGTTAAAGTAGGGTCTTTAACAATCAAGTGCTTCCAATAAAAATTGTTTTTCCTGGAATCAAAATTGATGATGGAAGGGCAATTGCATCTTATGTTGTGCTTATGTTATTTTGTACAGCTGTCTTTGGAAATAGAAACTAAAAGAAAACCATTAAACATTATACCCTCTTCTCTTCCCAACCCCCCTTTCTGGCAAACTCAAAAATTCTGAGGTTCTATGAGTGGTTCCCAGAAATTAAATTTGGAAAACAGATATATTTGCGGAATTATTTATATTAAAGACAAGATGACAACAAATGCCATTCGCACAACGCGTTGAGATTTTATAGAGGAAAAATGGTTCACAGACAGCTTTTCAGGAAAATCTCTCCTGTACTAAAGGAAGATGGTTTGTTAAAGTAAAAGTCTAAGCTTTGCCAACCCAGTGTCTTGATCGATTATCCTTGATGATGCAAGACCTTACTAACATTGGCTCTTGTCTATTGCTCAGGGCAGAATGAGGTTTTTATGGGGTGTGTTTCTCTTCCCTTAGTTCACTGACATTGGGACCTTCGAGACGGTGTGGCAAGTCAAGTTCTACAATTACCATAAGCGGGATCACTGCCAGTGGGGCAGCCCCTTCTCGGTCATTGAGTATGAATGCAAGCCCAACGAGACACGCAGTCTCATGTGGGTGAACAAGGAGTCCTTCCTCTGAAGATGGCTCTTTCTGATGTTGCTGGACAATCGCTTCGGAAATCTACTTTTAGATAACCCAGCACAAGCCTTCACCAAGGCACACCACACCGTTGCTCTTTCCCGTCGGTGCCAATGACCTACTAGCCCCGATTATTTTGAAAGTGTAATTCCCCTCTGATGCAATGTCCCCGACAAAAGAACGTGATGTACCCTCCTGAGAAGATCCCTTTCTGTGTCCTGTGTTGGTGCCCCTGCATTCATTTGTTCTCCGTCATGCTGTTGGCTGCTTGTGGAGACCTCAGTGCAATTGGCAGGCGTGTCTCATACTTAATGGTTCCGCTGAATGACTGTGGTGTTCTGTTTCTAAGTGGAGTGATTCCCCTTTGTTGTTAGCCGTTAAATAGAAAATAACAATGTGTGTGGGTTCTCTCCCACGTGTGATGTGGTGACATGTGACTCGCAATGTTTTGCAGCTCGCAGAGCAGGCTTTGTGAACATGTAATGCAAACAGCAGCGGGTGGGACTCAAATGTGCTTCCTAGAAACTGCTCAGCTTTTCCAGGGAGGGAAGATGACAAAGTAGAAGGAGAAATATTTAACAAGCATTTATAATGTATTAAAACTGTTTCACGTGACTTCAGGTATTGTGCTGTGGAGAGGGGGAAGCATGGTTGTGGACCCCTGTAAAAGGAGGTGATGGGAGTTACAGGGTTATCTCTTTGGCAAGCTACCCTGCATCCGAACATGCAGATCGATGGCACCCCTACACTCCCCTTCACTTGAACTTTGTAAAACTGTGTATGGAACTGTAATCAACTTTTGATATTTCTTAATAAAGGTGTTGAAAATCATACTCTGACTTGCCTTCTTAATTTGGGCAGTATCTAGTCAGCAGGTGGACCTCTGCTCCGGGCCAGTTCCCCTCGGGTCTCTACCTGCACTGCAGGTGAGGGGGAGAGACCTGGCCTGGAATTAGCATACTTACTCAAAGATCAACTCCGACAATTTACTCGGAATGCCCCAGCCAGCTCTAACGGGGCTGGCACGGGCCTGGGCACATGGTGGGCAATCAAAAAGTGCTTGTCTCTGTCCTCTCTCCATTCTTCCTCCCATGGTGACTCCATCAGCAGCAGCCTATATAGCTGAGCAGCTTGAGGATGTGGGGCTGTAACAGTACATTCATACCAGGGTGGACACCTCCTTGCCTGCTCCTCAGACACTACTATCTACCTGGTACAAAGCCTACGTCCTCCATGAGTGTGAGGATGAATCGCTAAGAAGGAAAGAAACGTCCTCTTGAAAAGGAACAAACTACTTTGCAACAGTATTCACCTGGGAAGCACAAATCCTACTGTGTTGGGGAAAGTTAGTTGGGGATTTGGGGATTTGCTCCCTGTAAACTCTTCATGTAAGAATATGCAAGGTTAATAGGAGTATTACAGAGTCAGATTGTTGTGGAACTGAGTTTGGACAGCTGGCACCAAAACCCTTTCCACCTGTGCCATCCGCCTGCAATGAGGCGGTACCGCCAGCAGGGCTCAGCACTGCCTTGCATTCAGGCCTCTCGGATGGGGTTCGGAGAGCAGTGTTTCTCAATCCACTTGTTCTTTAAAGTAACAGTGTCTATTACAACTGCTGATAAATGTAAGCATTAACCCATCCTAATTCCTGTTGTTTTAAAAACCAACACTCAATTATTTCAACAGACACTGAGGTATTTAAAACAATGTATTTACTACAGACAGCAGCTTTTTCCCCAGAATCTCCACCAGAACTGTGGTGATTAGAAGGTAGAAAAATAGGAAAGCTTTGTATTTTAATCTACTGAAGTATGCGACTGGTAAATATTCTCATGTGTGAAACAAGAAGTTTCAAGCTAGTGATTATCAGAGCTTTAATATTTGTTTTCAGGGGTGGAAGCAATATCGTGGCTTATGCAATAGTTCCGAGGCCTTAAAAAAAAAAAAAAAAAAACTAGAGGCTTTTATTTTATTTTTTAATTTATTGATTGATTTTAGAGAGAGAGAGAGAAACATCGATTTGCTTTCCACCTGTTCTCTCTCCATTCTTCCTGTGCACTCACTGGTCATTTCCCAGGTGCGTCCGGCCTGGGGATGGAACCCACAACCCCGGTGCACAGGGACAGAGCTTCAACCAACTGAGCTCCCTAGCCAGGGCGAGGCTTTGATTTTTGAGTTTGGAATGATTCAAGGCAGAACGGGGGAAAACATGGCCCACAGAGGAGCCCGAGGACAAGCCCTGGACAGGAGGCTGGGATCACTGAGTTCCACAAATGCTGGCTCATTTCACCTCTCTCTGCCTCCCTGTGCTTGTCTCCAAAATACTCCTTAAAACACAGTGTGTGTGTGTGTGTGTGTGTGTGTGTGTTCCCTTGGGGCCAAGAGGTAAGGCTGAATCAAGGGAGGTAGAGAGGAGATGGGGATGAAGTAAACAGGAAATCTTAACAGCTAATCTGCCACGTTAAGTGATCTCCCCTGGCATATACTGTTCCACTTATGATTGGACTCCAGCCCAGTGTCTCTGGCTCTTTCTCACACAGCTCTCCTCCTGCTCCAAAACTTGAGTGCTCAGCTATATCAAGCTGCTGAATTGTAACTTTGCCCCTCAGCCATCTGGAAGGGCTATTTTTATACAAGTTGTAGCCACGTCTCTCTACTTCGAAGCATCAGATGGCCACGCAGAAGCTTGAGGAACAAGGCCATCCTTCTAATTACGTGGATGACTAAACCACTTTTGAACAGGTAGAAGAGTAGAAATGCCTTAAATTTCTATTTTGTCACTCCTTGCTTATTGAGAAGTCACTTATCCAGCCATTTAAACTATCTGGATCACATCTGAGAGCAGAAAACATGCCCCCCCCAAATAAACATCCCTGTCACAATGTCACAGAGTCCATTCACTAAAGGCGGGGTCTTCTAGGAAAACCTCACCACTTCTGTTTCTGGGACAGTTCTAACATATATGGTGATCTGGTTTCTGGCCTTTAGGAAATTGGAAGCAGAAGAGTTGGAGGAAAGAAGGCAATTTTTAGAGGTAGGTATACTGAAAATATTTTTTTTTTCACAGACAGAGGACAAAGAAAAAAAATGTAAAGAGCAGGTAAAATAAGTCATAAATAGAATAGGGATGATAAAGACACGATTCTATACTAAATCACAGTCGTTTCTGTGGATAGCAAATAAAAATTGATGTACATAATCATGGCCCTGATTCACTTAGGGCGGTGATCCGTTATCTTCAGAAATGTAATGTCATGACTCGGTGTTTGAGGGTTCAGATTCTGGAGCCCAGATCCCTCAATTCAAATCCTGGCTCAGCTACTTACTAATTGTGTGACCTTAGGCAAATCGCCTCATATCCCTGCGCTTCAATTTTATCATTTGGAAAAAGAAGATAATAGTAGTATTTCCCTTGTACAATGGTCGTCAGGATTAAATAAATGAATGCACGTGAAACCTTTAGAATAGTGTCTGCACATAATGCTATTCAGTACATTTTTAAAAGACAGGGCAAAATACATTTTCAAGCACAATTTTCTTTTAATCCTCACCTGAGGACATTTTTGCATTTATCTTCAGATAGAGTGGGAGGGAGAGAGGAGGGAAGAAAGAGAGAAACATCGACGTGAGAGAGACACATCGAGTGGCTGTCACCCACACGACCCCAACCGGGACCGGGGACAAACTGCAACCAAGGTACATGCCCTTAGTGGGAACTGAACCCAGGACTCTCTGGTCCGCAGGCCAACACTCTAACAACTGAGCCAAACTGGCCAGGGCTGAAGCATAATTATTAAAAATACAAAGAGAGGCCTGGTTGGTTTGGCTCAGTGGTAGAACATCAGTCCGTCCCCAGCCCTGGTCAGGTTGTGTGGGAGGCAACCAGTCAATGTCGCTCTCTCTCTCTCTCTTTCTTTCTCTCTCTCTCTCTCTCCTTCCCTCCCACTCTATCTGATAATAAACAGAAAAATATCTTCCGGTGAGAATTTAAAAAAAATAAAAATAGCCCTGGCCGGTTTGGCTCAGCAGTTAGAGTATCGGCCTGCTGTACAGAGAGACCTAGGTTCAGTTCCTGCTAAGGGCATGTACCTCGGTTGCGGTTTGTCCCCGGCCCTGGTTGGGTCGTGTGGGTGGCAACCACTCGATGTGTCCCTTTCACGTCGATGTTTCTCCCTCTCTCTCTTCCTCCCTCTCTATCTGAACAAAATATCAAAAAAAAAAACAAACAAAAAAAAACTGTCCTCGAGTGAGGATAAAAAAATAAATAAATAAATAAATAAATAAATAAAAATAAATAAATAAATAAATAAAAATAAATAAATAAAATACTAAGAAAAACTGAAAGTATTTAACAAAATAAAACTTATTTTCCTAGGATATTCCATGCATTAATTTAAAATAACGGCCAAAGTTTGTGTTTGTTTGTTTTTTTTACACTAAAAAGAAAAGAATGCATGTGAAGATATTTTTAGTTATTTGAAAATAGTTTGAAGTAGTATGTTTTAAGATATGCTAGGTGAAGACTGTCTCCACAAACAGACTTCATTAAATTGCTTTTATCAAGACCCAATTTTGAAAAAAATGCAAACATCAAGACAGAATCAGAGAACTTAAAATCTGGGAAAGGTCAAAAATGATATCAAGCCCTGACTGGTGTGGCTCAGTTGGGTGTCATCCTGTGCACCGAAGTGTGGGTGGTTTGATTCCCAGTCAGGGCACATGCCCAGGGTTGCAGGCTCGATCCCCAGTAGGGGGCATAGAGGAGGCAGCCAAGTGATGCTTCCCTCTCACAACGATATTTCTCTCTCTCTCTCTCCCTCTTCCTCTCCCTCTCTCTGAAAAAGTCAATAAAAAAATTTTAATAAAAAATAATGCCTTACAAAAATTGTTTTAAAAAAAGAATAATGTCAAAAATTCTATTTTTTATTTCTTTTAATCCTCTAGACAACTCTGGGAAGTTGGCAGTACATGTTGTATCTTCATTTTACAGGAAGAAAAAATTTTAAAAATAAGGCTCAAAATTAAACAGCTAATTTTATAGGAAACCACTTTATTTGATCTGCAGTTTTCTCATTTATGAAATGATGGTAATATTGTCCACTTCACAGAGTGTGTTAAGATTAAATAATATAACTCATCACCTTCCTCCTGACACATGTCATTTAAAACAGCTTCACTAGCCCTGGCCGGTTTGGCTCAGCTGTTACAGCGTCGGCCTGTGGACCAGAGAGTCCCGGGTTCGGTTCCCACTAAAGGCATGTACCTTGGTTGCAGTTTATCCCCGGCCCCAGTTGGGATCGTGTGGGTGGCAACCAGTCGATGTGTTTCTCTCACGTAGATGTTTCTCTCTCTCTCTTCCTCCCCTCTCTCCCTCCCACTCTATTTGAAGATAAATGCAAAAAATGTCCTTGGGTGAGGATAAAAAACAAAACAAAACAAAAAATGGCTTCACTAGCCTGGCTGGTGTGGCTCAGTGGTTGAGCATCGACCCATGCACCAAGAGGTCGCCAATTCAGTTACCAGTCAGGGCACATGCCCAGGTTGTGGGCCAAATCCCCAGGGGGGGGCATGCGGGAGGTGGCCAATCTCTGTTCTCTCTCATTGATGTTTCTATCTATCTATCTATCTATCTGTCTGTCTGTCTGTCTGTCTGTCTGTCTATCTATCTATCTATCTATCTATCTATCTCTCCCTTCCTCTCTCTCTAAAATCTATAAAGAAAAAAATTTTTTTGTAAAGCCTTCATTATGAGCCCGTCTTCCTATAGCATTTGTTTTTTAACCCGGTGGTTTTGCCTTAATTTGTTTGCAGTTTAGTAGATCAGTTGCCTT